ACGTCTGGTATTTTTTTTTTTTTTTTTTTTTTTTTTTTACGTAACACGTGTTTCTTCCTTCTATTTTCCATTTTTGCATAGCTCGCATAGTCGTTATGCCTCCTCTTCTTTCGTAATTGTAAAACACGTTTATTACGTGTCGATCATCCCGAGTGAAGGATCTTTTATCTGCTTTTGCATGTTTCAATCGTTTTACCAAGGAATATTAAATTCATCCAAAATTCTGATCAACGAATACTCCCGTTTCCTTCGTAAATCGAATTCAATTCGATTACGAATAATTATCGATAATAGCGATACTGTGCATCATCTTCATAGGCAGGCTCCATATACGCCGGCCGTATATAACAGTATAACCGTTGCGGTAACGTGAAATCAGCAGGCAGTCTTGTAATTAATAGCGCGTGACTCGAATAAAAAAAGAAAAAAAGAAAAAAAAAATACACTCCGAAACACCGTGTGCAACATCTGTGCTTTCCTGATTCGCAAAGAAGAAGAACCATCTTTCATCGGGCAACAAAAATTTCCTATCGAAACCCGACAGACGTCGATATCGTCTGTATCGATTGCCAGAATCCTGTTGCCAAAATCACCAAGTACGCAATATGCTTCGAAATTCTTAATAAATGAGCGAACGCATAATCGACAAATTCCTCTCGATGATGAACGAAACAAACGAAAACGTAGGGAATGTAAATCCTGTAAAATTCAATCGGTTCGACACCATCGACGACGATAGAATTGCGAGCAGTGTCACGCGTGCGTGATACATCGCGAACGCCGCGAGAATAACGGTCTCGATCTCGATCCTGTCGCAATAAATCGGTTTCGCTTGGCCCCAGTGTCATGGCGAAATCTCGTGTTATTCATGTTCGTCCACGGCTCGATTACGGCTACGAGGAAACCTCGTTGTTTACCTGGCGGCATACCTATCCTATCCGCGAGGAAATTATTCGCCTCTCGTCGCCAGTCGAAGACGACTGCATCGCACGCCTTCGATAATTGTTTGCCGGATGAGCCGAGCCCTGCGCGTTCTCTTAAAATATTCGTTACGACTGCCTGCAAACATTCCGCGTCTTCACCTGACTGTAGATTCCGCGACGGCGAGGCAAGGGATGACACGATCGTCGCCGTTGAATCGACGACTCGAGATGTTTGAAACGCGAGTTTTTTTTTTTTTTATTTTACAAAAAGACGGAAATTAAGAGCAATTAAGATCGTGAAAAAAAAATTGAAGATATTCCGGTGAAGCTGCTCGCCAAGGTATCGAAAAGTATATTCATTTCAATCGCACCGGATTCTTCGTTACAGTTAAACGGAGAAAGTGGATCCGGTTCGACGAAGAAATCGAGACACACCTGATTACTTTTTTTTTTTTTCACAAACCTGGAGGAACAAACAGAATTCTGCACATTTACTTGTGTATACATGTACACTCTGCATTTATATTCCATTCTAATCGTTCGAGTAATATTCGTCCGTTCCCGCAGCGAACGTCCTCGAAGATGACAAAATTGATAATAACAATTCTGTTGCAAGAAGATATTTCGAAACTTCTCCTCAAAGGAGCCTAGCCTTCAAAGATGCATCGTCGTGCGTACGCGAGATTACAAAGGATTACTGTCTGCATTGTCTATTTTTCCATCGGCGATTCCTCGATGGAAGAAGCGAAGACCGCGAGAAATTGGTGGGGAAAAAGAAAAAAATAGGCGTGCGATCGCGATCTTTCTTACGCAAGCCTGGCAATCTCGTACGAGATCGTCGACGATCCCTCCCGGTGTACGCGAGTTTACGCGTAGCGAAACAACCTTCCATCCGAGATATCGATCTTCGATATCGAGCCTCAATCGGCAATAATAGTCGTTGATTGATCATAAAACTTGTTTCAACGTCGCGTCGTTTCTCATCAAGCAAATGTAAATTAACGAACAGCCTTGTCCGCCGATGGAAATTGCACGACCACAATCCTAGCGATGATTTTGTAAAATCTTTCAAGGAAATACTACGTTCCCTCCTCGTCGATCGTGTTTCGTCAGACAATATAAAATAACGAACAGCGAGGGAAACTGTCCACAGGAGAAAACTGTACGACGATTAGTAGCATTTTACAGTAAAACGTACGTCAATATTCCGCGTTTTATAAAATCTTTCGAGGAAATACACGTTCCTTTTTTTTAACTTTTGAGAATCTGACAATCGTATAAAGAAATTTTGCAAACAATATATATATATATATATATATAATATAAATAATTTTTATACAATCGCTTGTTGATTGAGACGTGTTCTGCTTATCATTTAATTAGAACCACGTATTTCCTCACCGGAATATTTCATTTAACCATCGTATTTTGAATACAATCATTAATGCATAGATCCCTAGGTTTTATTTCTCGCTTCTACAGCAACTTGAGAAATCCTACCACTCTCGGAACACGTTGTATATAATGCGTTCGTTTTTGCCCCGTATGGAACATGCTAGTGTCATCTGGTCTTCTTACCAGGTTAAACATACACACAACTTCTGCTCAGAGAGGACTCGGAATAGATTTCTACGATTCGCATCGCGAGCTCTCGACAATTCTATGTATCCTGTCCATCAGAATTCAAATAAATAAATATCCAGAAAAGATCCTTCTCCGTTGCCTTTGGAGAAAAGATGACTCGACATCCTTGAATTCTTCCTATCGATAGCCACTCGAATTTAATTCGAAAAAGTCGCTGCTTCGAGTCGCGAGGTTCGATAAAAGGTGGGGAATAAATTTCTTCGGCAGACGAGTAATCCTTGCTTTCGACGTACGATTTCGCGAAACGTTGAAAAACGAGCAAACCGATAAAGCAACGCGACAAGCGCACCACCACCGTTCAAGGCTAAAATTATAATTTCAAATAATCCTCGAGAGAGAGACGAAAATACAGAGAGTCTCGTTTCGTGCTCGTTCGTTCGTCATTGAATTA